ACGACGCTCCGTTAGATTGGCCCTGGCTGAGGGAAAGGGGTGTGGAGACACCAGACCCCCCAAAACCATTGTGGTTGAGAGCCTCCGATTCAGCCATTCCAGGGGCACATGCACCTAGCCTAGGACCCACATCTACCCCTGCAATCACATCAATAGGATCCTGGTCTGTCTCCCCCTCCCCTTCATCTACGCTCTCAAGGCGTACTTTATTCTTCACAATCACACTAACAATTGAGGTGTCAGCCTGGGGATCTGAGGGGCTTGACGGTCTTAAGGATGACCCAACGCCCACCACGCTATCCGGCTTCCCCAGAGGTGCGCCTGTAGCTCCATGGGGTCCCTCAGCCTCGTCTGGGGCAGACTGGATGGCCTCTTTAGCATCTATGTCAGGAATGTCAAATGCTGCCAACAGGTCATCAAAATCTGGGGTCTTCATGTCCCCCATACCGGGAATAACTCCTGTAAAACATACATTTACAGATTAAGTATAGGAAAGCAACAAAATACACTAGCATGAATCTGCCTGTGCTGTAGTCCATCAGCCCTTACTCTGCCTCGCAGCATAATGCACGCTACAAAACCTCAGCATGCAAAATTTTAACTCCTTAATGCTAAGTTAAAATTTGTGTATTTTTGAGATACACTCCGCGCATAAGATTTCTTGCATGCACATTCGTTTGACACAAACTGAAAAGCTACAGCAGGTTAGATTGTTATCTGGGAAGCTAGCTAAGCTATAAGGATCCCGCACTATCAATCCTGTTAGCCAGCTAGTGCTCTAGCGACGGCGTTTCTGCAACAAAACCCGTCTCAGGTAACATCTTCAACACTAATTTGCTATGAATGGGAACTGATGCTTTAATAATTAGTTTAATGCATGCAAAGCTTTGCACCAGTGACCATTTGAGAAAAGGTTCAATCGGTGCAGTGTTTGTAGGAGCGACCTTGGTTATTTTGAGCTAACGATATTCCTTCCCGACTGAGGATGGCTAGCTGGCCGCTGAGCTCCAGCCAAGACAGAGAGGGGTCATTTAGCTAACCAGCTAGCGCTCGCCGTTAAAGGACAACTGAGCAGTTTGCGTAGCTTTGGTTTGACAATAATAACAACTCGGTGATCGTAGGGTCGACGGTGTCACATAACAGGATTGGTGGGAAATGGATTTTGGTTTACTATTTCATGTATTTTGAGTGTTTACCTGGATATGCGATTCCCGACTATCCTAGCTCGTTTTCAGCTGAAAATGCTCTTCTTCCCGTCACGTGACCCGAGACATCCTATCAAGCTGTGATAGCCTGGAAAAATGCATGGAGGATGCTGCAAACGACACGTATATTTATTTCTGCTGGAAATTACATAAAATATCCATCAGTCCCATCATACCACTTAACATCCTGCGATGCCTTTTCAAATTTTACTCCTGATTTTGCACAAACCGGTTATTTGCTATGATCACACATTTGTTATCCCAATTTACATATAGCCCTGTAAACAATACGAGGTTTACAAGGTAACAAACACTCAAAGGCAACATACTTACACAATGCTTTTATTGCAAAAAACACAAATGCATGACAGGAGTGCAGCTAACTGTTCAGTTTAAATACCTGTCAACATAAATTCTTCTCTCCTGTGGTGGGTCAATTATCAGTGATAATACAATGTAGAGAAATGCATGGTCTAGACTGCACAAGGCAGTTCAAGAATAGGCCAATATTTAATTTTTGAGATGATATAAATTTATGTTACTGGTCTGTCAAATGATACACTAAAAGTCATTCAGTACGGTAGGTTTTTTTTTCTCTTCTATGTTGGGGCTTTTGTGTGTCTTGACAGAAAAGGACTATCAGAGTGCTGTCATGCAGGGCAATGCATCAGCAATCTTGTATATTAGTCTGCAATTGTTCATTATTTTCTAGTCAGTGTCTGAAGTTTGTCCATCTCTGCTGTTTCTCATTTTTTCTTCTCTTCTTCTTTTTTGCCATCTGGCTTGTTCCCCATCTGAGAAGCCAAGGAACCCATGGCATTGCGTATGGCCTCGTTGTTTGGGTCAACACCAGGCAGGTTTTCCAAGACACTCTGAAGGAACTCTGGGTCTTGCATCACATCATAGTCATCTTCCTCCTATTTAATTACAATACAGGATACAGTTTACTAGGTTTGGTTAAGCCTTCATTTGGGTGGTTTTAAAATCCAATAGGTCCAGGATGTGTGTGTATGTATGATATTAGCACATTTTTCATGATATACCCCCAAATTATAACTGTATCTTGTATGTGATGTGCGCAGAGCAGCTGAGGTATATTTTATTACCTACCAAGTATTATTTGGCTTTCACTGCCCATTAGTGGCATACCACATAATTTAAAGCTCAGTGATTAGAGGTTTCTAACCAACTTCCACTCTAGTAGTTGTAACTACCTTTTAATATTTTCCTCTACGGTTTTGTAGCTTGTGCTACATATTGTGCACCCCCACCCCCACCCCCACGGTACACAAGAACCAGTGGAGCCCCATTTAAGAACTGCTACACAATTTCATTTAAAACATATGACAATTCACCTTGGCTGATTCTGCGGTGTCCATGGGGGCTCCTGTGTCTATTTCTCCATACTCTGTTTACAGAGAGAAAAAAGGCCATATCACTTATTTTAACAGACATATCAGCAAATAAAATAAATCAGCAAGAGCATAAATTTGTATTACAATCAAAGTGAACTCACCTCCACCAGCAAGAGACATCTGCATGGCATAAGCTATCTGCTCCTCCTCTGTCATGCTGCTGAAGTCAGGAAGCACTGCTGCACCACTCTCAGGCTGAGATACAGACATCTTCAATAAGGCCTCCTCTGATTCTGTGAGAAAATCTAAACTAAGTAACAGACCAACTCATTCTATCAAATCCTAACAATTATTATAATCAGTGCTGTTTCATAAGCAAAATCAGCATTTGTCAATCCTCCAGTTACCATCTGCACTGGGTGTGGGCATGCCTGCCTCGGCTACAGAGGCAGCGGCGGCCTTCTTCCCCCTGCCTCTGTCGCTGCTCCTCCATCGATACACGCAGGGCCTAAAAGTGCACACAAACAGCACAATGAAAAATCAGACAAAGTTAGAGTACTTGAGAACTGAATAAGATCATCACACTAAGAGTATGGGATGGTACATTCTGAAGACACCCAATATATATATGACACAAGGACAAGTTACAAAAGGAAAAAAGAGATATTGCTCAAATTCTAATGCAGAAAAATAGTTGGTGCAAAACTCAGTGCCAATATCTATTGAGAATTCCCATTTCAGACAAAAAAACCTAAGGCACAACTACCAATTAATAATTAATAAAACCAATGAATGCCCTGTCTCAAGGAAGCTCACAGCCTATCACTGTCTTTGTCAAACCCTCTTTGTGGTGTCATATCAACTTTGCTTTCTACCTTTTCTACCTGTGGATCAGACTGGTTCCAAGGAGCTGATACACATGTATTTGCTATGTAACTAATTTCTCACACACTGGTGTTAGCATAGGCACATCTTGAATGGAGCACTGGATAGAGATTCGAGTCTTACCTTTGTTTGCATAACTAGTATTTATCATGAGGCAATAATAAGTGCTATGTTTTCACCACTTCTGGTGCTCTCATAATTAAATAGGCATGCTTCCTTGAAAAGATCGTTCTCTCTTAAATCAATTCCTAAGTGATAAATTACCAAGCATTTTACACACAACCTTATATTGCTTACCAGTGCCAGCTCTGGATCAGCATTGGGATCCACGCCAAACTCAAAGTCGCTGGCACCAAGACCCATCATAGAACCTCCTTCACCGGCCAGGATGGGCGAGGAGAGCAGCGCATCAGCCAGACTGGGCCCTGGAGGGACTGTGACCAGGTGGGAGCCAGTCCCCTCCTTCCCATTTAGAGTATTTATAAAAGCGGTCAGCTTTTCTGTGTTCACCTCCTAAATAAACACAGAATGAGGTTGCGGAGAACTGAGAACTCCATTCATAACCAAGAAAAAGTGCCAGAAAATACAATCCAAGAGAACAACAATATGATACTTTAACTTGCAGCAATACAATGGAAACTAAACCAAGAATTCCTCACCTCTTCTCCAAAATTAATAATATCCACATTCACTTTCTCCTTTTTCAAGCGCTTTGCCAACTTGACAAGCTGTACAAGAAGCAGGAAGACAAACACATTAACAGTGATATATTGTATTAGAGTGTGTGCGTGTGTCAAATCTATTCTGTAGCATCAGTCAAAACCTCTCTCTCTCTCTGAGGGTTTGGCATATGTGATACAAAATTTCAAACTCACATCTTTTTCATTATCCTCCACAGGACTCCCAACAAAGGCAATGATCCTCATCTTGTGGTTTTTTCCTTGTCTGTGCTTTAGGGCCAGCTACACGGGAAAAACATTTTTAAAAGGCCACTCAAAAACTGCTGCTGCAGAAAGCAAAACCTATTATTTACCAATTGAGTAGTCATTAGGTGGAATCCTTGCTTTAAATTTAAAACAATGTATTAAAATCAGAAACAAATTACACACCTGAGCGACTCTGATGCCCGTACAGAAGGAGATCTTCCCTCTGGGTTGCACAGCATGAAGTTTGGACAGGATACGGCCAGTATCTGGTGTCAGTGTGGTCAGGACCTCACAGTTACTGCATGAAAACATAATGAAACATCCACAGTCCATCATCATCAACCATGTACAACTAAACATACACTGCATTTAGAGCTACAATGAATAGTTGATCTAAAATTAAGTGGCAACTATTCTGATAATCAAATATAGTTTCAGCCAGTTTTAAAGCAAAAAGGTAAAAGAACTGCTGTTTCTAACTTCTCAGATATGTGGATTGGATAATTTTATTTCTCATGCAAGTTCAGCTGTGGATTTTAGACAGTTTGTCAGACAAAAAGGACATGAAAGTGTTACTTTGGTCTTCAGCAAATTACAAGATGCATTACTCACCATTTTCTGATATTTAGCAGAAAAAAATGATAAATCTACAAAAATAAACACTAATCAACAATGAAAATAACTGTTACTGTAGGTGGAGCCCCAAATGTATAGCTACAAGGAAAATCTGTGTATATTGTTTAGCACTTAGTGCAAAGTAGTTGTACAGATAAAGAAAAAACTGAAATGCCTTTCAGATACTCTATTCAAGATGTGCCTATGCCAATTGTTGTCAGAGTCTTTACAGTTGAAGTCAGAAGTTTATATACACCATAGCCAAATATATTTAAACTCAGTTTTTCACAACTCCTGACATTTAATCCTATAAACATTCCTTGTATTATGTCAGTTAGGATCACTACTTTATCTTAAGAATGTGAAATGTCAGAATAATAGCAGAGAAAAGGATTTATTTCAGCTTTTCTTTCTTTCATTACATTCCTAGTGAGTCAGAAGTTTATATACATTCGGTTAGTACGTGGTAGCATTGCCTTTAAATTGTTTAACTTGGGTCAAATATTTCAGGATGCCTTCCACAAGCTTCTTACATTAAGTTACTGAAATTTTAGCCCATTCCTCCTGACAAAACTGGTGGAAGTGAGTCAGGTTTGTAGGCCTCCTTGCTCAAACAGTTCTGCCCACAAATTTTCTATTGGATTGAGGGCGGGGGTTTGTGATGACCACTCCAATACTTAGACTTTGTTGTGCTTAAGCCATTTTGCCACAACTTTGGAAGTATGTTTGATGATTGATTTATCCTGTTCAGACCAAAGTATGCTCATCTCTAGGAGACAGATCAAGTCTCCTTTCTGAGCAGTATGACGGCTGTTTTCCCATGGTGTTTATACTCGCGTAGTATTGTTGGTACAGATGAACGTGGTACCTTCAGGTGTTTGGAAATCACTCCCAAGGATGAACAAGACTCGTGGAGGTCCGCAAAGCGATGGTTTGGTCTTGGCTGATTTCTTTTGATTTTCCCATGATGTCAAACAAAGAGATACTGAGTTTGAAGGTATCCCTTAAAATACATCCACAGGTGCACCTCCCATTGACTCAAATGATATCAATTAACCTATCAGAAGCTTATAAACCATGTCATTTTCTGGAATTTTCCAGTCTGTTTAAACTGGGTGTATGTAAATCTTTGACCCACTGGAATTGTGATATAGTGAATTAATCCATCTGTAAACAACTGTTGAAGAAGTTACTTGCGCCATGCATAAAGCACATGTCCTAACCAATTTGCCAGAAAGAGATTTTGTTAATGACATGTGAAGTGGTTAAAAAAAATGTTTTCATGACTTCAGCCTAAGTGTATGTAAACCTATGACTTCAACTGTATATCAATTATCAAAACGTCTTGGTTTAAAAAGAAAAAAAATGCTTACTTTGCCATAGTGATGAGGCCCACGTTGTTTTCTGGATTGCTGCGTGTTTTGGAATGGCAAACGATGTTGGCAGCATCCTGCTGAGCCTGTAGCCTTGTAGGTAGAAAGTCTCCATTTCTCATGTATTCGCTGTTGTCCACACTGAGGGGGAAACATTAGTTTAACGCGGCTCTGATATTAGCTAACCTTAGCATTTGAAAGGCCAATCTCGTATAAACCAAGATAGAATTAGGCCAAGTAGCTAGTTTACAATGCATCTCAATTCCTCTTCACCATCACCTTCTTGTGGATAGGTATGTGTTCTTCAGTGGGGAAGAAGCTAGTAAACTAGCCAACACTGAAAAGCTGTTACAATATAAGAAAGCGATAAACTATTAAAATAAAAAATAAAAAACAGTATTAGCACTACTTGCTAACGTTAGCAGGTAGTACCATTACATATGTCGCTGGGAGAAACTATATCTAATTAAGTTGTCAGCTCATAATTTTGACAAGGAACACAAAACTGCGAATAACGGCACTTATAAATATGGCAATGTGTGATATAGATAAACAAATACTTTAATAAGAAGTCAAATCTAAGTTAAGTTTAGCTACAATGACTCAGCCAGTCAACACTGCGTTAGCTGGCTGTCAACCTTCAATGATCAGTCCATCTGAATCAGAAATTACTTCCAAATTCTAGTTTATAAACTACCTCATTGAGCAGTCATCCACCGTGTCTACATATGACCCGTAAACAGATTAATAACATCATAAAAAGCCTTTTTATTTAGGTTAACACAAGTTCTTACCAGACCATAGTACTTTCCAGCACCATTTTGGAAGCTTCTTGTTTCTCTCTGTCGTGACCTAACAAGCTCACAGACTATTGGATACACGCTGAACAAAGAGAAATATGATTGGCCACGTTTTGTAAACACGTAATTAGTCAACGAATAGCATAGGATGTAGTGGAATAAGGTGGAAATAATATCTCTCAGATCAAGGTCCTCTTACTATTTTTCCCAGAATATTCAATCACATAATCTATGCGGATACAGTCTTCTCAAATGGGACGATAAATCCTCTGTCATTGTAGACTATATGTAATTTTATATAGATTTATATTCATATCTTCTGTAAAATTAATTAAGAAGTCAGACTGGTGTGTATGTTTTTGGTTAATCCTGTAATTTCAATATCTGACTAACCACTACACTTCATCTTTCCAATATAAAAATAAAATACATTTCCATAAATAAATCATGTTTATTATTCTACGACACTGCAAGAGTGTAATACACAAAAAATATAAAAGGGATATCAGCCACATTAGTAGCAGTAAAAATGCCTGATGGTTAACAAATTAAAATTGTGTAACAGCATGTATTGCCCTATCACCAAACACATAAAAAGTAAAAAGCAAATGCAACATTTTTTTTCTTTAATAACTTTGGGTACAAAATTATGAAATCCCCAAAAGAGAGAAAAACCCAGTAAATATTCAGTGAAAAGTCACTGAATACAGATGTGCTCTCATACAGTTCAGAAGCAAATGAAGAAAAATTATACACAAAAATAAAGGATGATTTAACAGTTGTTATGATAACCTAACAACCAAAATCATCTGAAGTTCTTACACTTAGACAAAGATTTGTTGTGCAAAGGAAAGGCACACTTTCAATTCATTAACAATCATTTTGAAAATACAAACGGTAATAAATATTTTAATAAATATGACTATTTACATGTTTGGTCCACAGGCTGTGTGTGTGTGTGTAACTGCTTTGGAGTTGTCACAATAAGGTAGCATCACTTTTAATATTCGGACAGATCATTGTCTGATAGTTTGAACAGTCAACAGAATAAAATAACCTCTAAATATTATGCCTAAATGATGCTCATTCATCATATCTTGGCTGGAAAATTGTTGACTCACTTTATGTACTGCACAGTCCATTCATTCACACATATGCATATGTGTAACCAAAGAATTTTGTTGCATATTTTAAGTATCTCTCAAATCACAGATCTTGTATGCTGGTGTACTGAAAATGTAGTCTAATACATTTCTGCATTTTTAAATATCTAACAATTCAGTTACACTTGGCAAGCTAAAGATAACCAATGATAACATCAAAGTAAAACACTAAATACCCATTCTGAGAGCTAAATCCAACTACAGTGAAGCCTCTGATACAACATCTACAAGTTTTAGTTAACAAAAAGTAGACAAACGGTGACCTCCACACACCAGGTAGCCAACATCATGTTTTCTCATAAAAATATAGGAACTATACTACAGCTGGGGCCTGTCTCAAAAATGTCTTTTTATCAGCTTCACTACACTTAACACTGGCAATTCTGAATAACTTGTCTCACAAAGCTCACACATCTTTGTTATTCAAATAAAAAAGTGAATTTGATAAGAGATAGGCTGAAAATGCTTATCTCCACGGGGAAACTGCAGTTTTGGTCAGGGACATTAGTTACCATAGTAATAACTGAAAGTCTGGGTCTCCCTGTGACATTGAAAAGACACGGTTAACTACATACTTTGATGACTAACTCACTGAATTCATGAGACAGGCCCCAGGTTTGCTGTGGTGCTTTGCCCACAACTGAGTATCACATTTGGTTATAAGCCAACTTTCACTCTAAACCTAAATCTGATATCAGATCATACAGTGTATAAGTATTTTTTAAAAAATCCTTTTAAAATAACACTTTGACCTGAACATGAGGGTATTTGGGATTCACAGTCTCTGCAGTAGTACTGGTTCATTAGAGCGTCTTTTTCTAGCAGTGTTTGTATTTAGAGTAGGCTTAAAAAGCTGCAGCTTGTCATGTAGGAAAACTGTAATTTCTTAAAAAAAAAAACAAATCCAATCCAAGTAATATAATATAAAGCATCTCAGTCAAATGTGTAGCAGCAACAGCACTCTAGATACTACACATTTGCAGAGCCAAGTGTGCATGAGGATGTGCTACAGCATTTTGGTAAACAAAAAAAGGAGACAATGAATATGAAATAACTTTGCTTCAATGAAAACATTTTGCTTTGCTATGGCAAAGTCCTCAAGTTACACTCATCACAGACTGCTGGCTTAGTTGAGCACATCAGTGCCAAAAACAATCTGTAGTTGTGACTGCAAGCATTCATTTGAGATGACTAATAGTGTTCAATAACCACAGCATTCATGTACCCACAGTTACTAGGGTCTGAACGCAACCACCCATTTACAATCAAACCCCTTTGAGATTTGAAAATCAACGTGCAAAAAGAACAACAAAAAACACTTAATAACTTACTCAGTCTTGCTGAAATACAATATAACTTTAATATTTCAACCCCGCTCATACCATCCTCTGAGCTCATTCATTTGAGTCCCATTCTTTTCACACCTGTAAAGCACAACATTTAATCGGATTAGAAAACCAATCTGTATAAGTAAAAATGTGCCAAGTAAAAGAAAGAGAGAAACTTGAGAAAGCCAACTTACAGAACATTTGCTTGTATTAGGAGTTATGTCACTGAGTGAGAACATATCCTCAGTCTCCAAGCCTTCTTCAGAAGTCCCAAACTGTGTTCTGAAAACAAAAGCAGTTGTGTAAGTGAATTATGCTTATATACAGTAAGATACACCAGGTCAAATGAATATGCATTTTGTTAAAAAAAATACAGATGACCAAGTATTTATTTAAAAAGAACTGGAATTTAGGCTTAATTTTCACAACATGTTTCCTGATGTTTCTCTTCTAATGTTATACTGATAGGTGTTTCGATTATTTTGTCCACCCTATGTATATCAGTGAGACTAGACTAAACAAACAGAAACATCTCTCTACAAGCTGAGTGCATGCTGAATTTCCTGTGATTCTGGTTAGGGGACATTTTTGCCTTTAGCTCACACTCTCAGGGCAGGTCCTCCACTCCCAGTCTGTGCACCAATTACAGTACAACAGGTCTGCCAGTGAAATAGAAGAATAAAATGTAAACATTGTGTACAGGCTGTAAGGAAGTTCTACCTGAGGCTTAGGTCCTGACCCAGTTCTTGAAATGATATTACAGGAATTAAAAAGAAAATGCAAAAGTCTGATTTAAAAAAAAAAAAAACTACACTTAAATGCTGTAATTTTCCCTAAGTGTCATTGCTTATCACATGAAAAGCTTGGACCTTGTTGCCAGTTGTTTAAGTTCAACAACTTCACAAAAACAAATGCCGTCTAATTTAGCATGCCTACAAGATATTCTGCCTTAATTACCGTTTATTTTTGGGTTAACTGTTTAGTTTCTAGTATTCTGTCCAGTCAATTTAAACCAACAAGACTAACTATTAGTTTTAACTAGGTATAGCTAATAAACTGAATGGGCTTGATGTCCAAAGCTCAGCAGTTGTTCCCACCACTGCCATATGCACGGACGTGTAATGATCAATAACCACTGAACCAAAGAGCCATACAGACCTGTTATTAGACATTATTCAGTCATTCTGATGACTAGTAACACTGCCATATTTTAAGAAAATACACCTGAATGTGAATGTTTACTGTCAGCAAACTGGTTTCTATTATCTATGACAACACTCAGCTAATTTTATATCCATTTACTCAGTTAATTTTCACGTGTGCTTTTCCTCTTACCCCTGGGAGGTGCTGTGATCCTGATCATAGCTCAATGTGTTGTTTAAATCCGTTCCCACAGACCTCTGGCTGTCCTTAAAGTGAGATGGAGGCTGGCTTGTAGGAGCAAATGCAGGGGTTCCCAAGGAGGAGGAGTTCATGGAGGAGGTTTCAGCAGTTTTACGATCAGTGCTTCTGCGTAGTAAGGTCTCTAAAAGGAAGTCAGGACGACCTAACTGCCCGACTGAGTGGAATGAGTGGAAAAACTGTCAGTAATGTACTATGAAAGAAGCACTTCACATGCTGATGCATACTGGGAGGCTGAATCTTTGTGGGCATCAGTAAACATTATTCGTTTCCCATGCTACAGCTGAATCCTCCCTGTCCTCCTTTTTCCAGTTCTTACCATTTTCTCCTTCAGTGTCTTCTCTGGTCTCAGAACTGACTTGATGTTGCTGGTTGTTGCTGCTGGTTGGGGTCAACAGAAGAGGCCCAGTGCCAGCTATCTTTTTCAAAATACCGTGGTTAGCTGCACGGCGTTTCTTAGATGGGGAGGGCTTTACTAGATACAAAAGAGAAAGGTGTTAATAGAGGGATCATAAAGTGAAAATGAGACTATTACACACATACACTGCTTACGTACATGTGCTCTTCCTGAAGACTGTATTGCACATGAACTTCTGAAATCGCTCTGAATAGAAACTTGGTCTGTGTACCGATACAGTGTCCTGAAGAAAGGGAATGATTACAATTTAATGTCTGTATTATTTAATCTAAAACACATTTAACTGAGGTGAGTACAAGTACCTTACCCCATCATGAACTAAAGCTTTCCACGAATGTTCAAGCTTCTTTATAAATCTGAAAATCAACACAGATTACTCATCACCACTGGATTATTTATCTTATGATCAAACACACTTGGTTTTTACATAAGCCACTGACAACACAAACATCAAACTGACACATACTTTAAACTTTTTCAGTGCGGCTTTAATAGAACAACTGGAGCTTAGTGCCGACTCAGGAAGAGCAGTGGAGTCACATTAGCACTGCTGATCTATTTTAAGCAGTCTCTCTACATAAATGGCATTACAGCATATTATTAAGCTTAAGGCTATTTTCTTCCATTTTAAAAATGTAACTACAGATGTTGTGTGTTGGGTGCTGAACAATTCCAAAATGCGGGTAGTGGCAGGAGGGCTGAAGCAGCTGTCACTGACTGAATGAGAAGTGCACAATGTAGATATACAAACATTTATACTGGTCACCTATAGGACTGCAGAATGTCAATGATACCAATGTACAACAGCAGCCTCTCGCCTTTCGAGTTTCGTGCCGGGATTCCTCCTGTTCTGTAAAACAAAACCAAAAAATGCATAGTTTAGTGCTCTGTCATTCAATATATACTTCACTGTGGTGGCACAAACTGTTACAAGGAAGCTGCTTTATGCATGACAACTTAGTGGCCACTCACTTGTCGTCCAGTGATCCCATTCTGTCTGTCTCTGCCTGAATGGCCTCTATAGCAGTGCTGTACAGGGACTTCTGGCCATGTGGCTTTTTCTGGTCCACAGCTCCTGCAACCACCTCTTCACTGACCTGCTCTCTACAAGCCTGATCTACATTGTGGATTCCCATCAGAAGGCTGTAGTCCATAATCTTAAAACTTTCTAAGACCTGAATGGAAATCAAGGAACACAAATACTATGAGAACAGCGACTGAATGAATCAAGAATGAAAACCACATGAGAAATGTTTGGATGTTTTCTAGTGGCAGACTATGTGCATTTATGGTAATTTAATGTCTAAATGAATTCAACAATGTCATGCATATAGCCTCATGTCTAGACAGACAATTTTCTATGGCTCTCACCCGACAGTCTCTCTGGATGGTCTTGCAAACAGCATTGTGCTTGTCCCCCTCCAATAACACCCCTTCAGGCATGTCCTGCATGAGATCCAGGTCCTTGTATGTGGGCACAGCCTTTTCCCTCTCTTTAACTGAGGCCCGTCTCTTATAGGTGGAGCCCTTTAGATCATACTTCAGGTGCATTTGTACAGCACTCGGGAGCAGATTGTTCATGACTAAAATACGGATGTTTTTACCCCCTGCCTGCACGCAGTAGAGTCCATAAAACTTTGGTAACAGGGTCCGCTTGTTCTGGTTCAGGTTCTGTAGGAGATTAAATATTAAAATATTTTTTAAATTAATAAAACACAATTATACAACTTCCAGATGAACTGTGAGTTCAAATGAATAGTTGACTAAAGTAGCAACAAATTATTTTCATTACAAGTAATCTGTCAATGCAAATTATTTGTTACAATATGTCGGAAAACTGAAAAATGCCCAGTTAGTTCATAGTTTTATTGGATGGGACACTGGCATTTCCATGTATTCTGCAGACATCATCTTGTACATAAAGCCCCCCATCAGATCTTACCATGAAGTATCCAGGAAGCAGTTTCTGTAGAAATTCTGCCTCTTTGTGCTGCACTGTTTTAATAATGTACTCATCATCACTAGAAACATAGAAGAGAGATCCACTGGCCCCGGAGTTTGACAGCTCGATGAGTGGATCCTTACACAGAGAATACTGTAACCACACCAGAACAAGGTGGTTAGACACGTGATAAGAGAACCAGACTACAAGACACATTAACAGGGTTAAAAAGAGTTGGCTGTGCTTTTACATCATCAGCAGCTCCACCTCTAGTGTGTCAACACTCCATCATTTCACACTTCCCTAGTTCTACTCTTTCCAGTTCCTCAATTACCAATTTCTTGACACAGTTCGCATCACTTTGTCCTTCTTCAAAACTTTACTGTTCTGCTAAGTCTTTTGCACATTGTCTGAGTGTAACAGATGCTGAGTAAACAAGAATACCATGTAGTCACCAGGCTGGATGCCAAACATCTCCCTGAAGTAGCGAAAGGCGAGTGGAGCATATGTCTTGAACCTGAAGTCTCCATAGTGGTGAGCTGGTGTCAGGTTGCTGCCCTCACTGCCAGTTAAAGAGACAGCGGTAGCGGATTACATCACATACAAGACAGGTTAAGGAAATGATATATAATGTAAATTATAAATAATGTAGTACAGACAACAGATCCTGATGCTGAAGATAAAGCATGCATTTAACCATCTTTTCAACATATTCTTAATTCTCAGTTTAAAGACTCACTTGGGGAAGAAGATGCTTTCCACTTCTTCAAAATCCTGCAACAGCACGTCTCTCTCGGGTTTACTGCTTAAGCTTCCCACCGTGTGTGTGATACCTAACTGGATAGCACCTTTCAGGGCAGATGAAGTTGTCTGGAAGAAAGAGAAAGATGACGTGTCTGTGGCAAATAGTTTAGAATTAATAAAAGAAGATCACATCACAGTGGCTAATAACATTTTCAGTGTGCAATGTCATTTGAATTGCACTGCTCATCAGCATGAAATACAAATTTCAGATTTGTGAGTGAGCATGCTTTAAATTAACAGACCTCCGAACAACTGTGATTGACATTTTTCAAATTTTTGTGATTAATCGAGAAAATACTTTGCACATTATGAGATAATAATCAATAGATAATTAGTAGCAGCTCTGAGTGAATGTGCATGTATGTCAGTCAGTGACAGCTGATCTCCCACCTTCTTATAAGTTGTCTCCCCAGTGGGATCCGTTCCACGATGGCCAATAGTTTTTTTCATGGTCTGAGACATGCTTGGACTCTGTCAAGAGGAAATTAACTTACTGCAATAACACTGCAATGTATCATGTTTCAAAGAGGAAGGAAAAAAAATGATGTGTCGTCTAAATATGATTACATTCCAAACTGTTCAAAGATGAACCCAATGTGTATTTCCTAACTGTGGATTACGCATTTTCTCGGAACAAAACATTTCTTACCTCTGGAGAAACATTTTTTCGAGTCCCAGTGAAACCTAGAAGGGGGGGAACATACAAGTAAATACACAAATATCAAAGGAAATTAGTTAACCAAACAAATGCAATTCTCACATTGGATGCATTAATAAACACAACACAACACAACACATCTTGACTAGGTCATATCATTCCCTAATATGTAAAACAGAGTGCTGACACAAGCATGCAGATGCACCTCGGTCATTACCTCTGAGAGAAGAGAGTCTCCTCCAGAACTGACTCTGCGGTCTTTGCGTGCAATAAAAGGAATTAGATAAGTATGCTATCATAATAAAATGGAGTTTATGCAGGGCCACTGAATGTTCCAATCTCTATAGTAAAAAGTTCTGTTTCCAGGAGTTCAAAGTCAATATTAAACCTAAATCGTTTACATTTGTCTTTTAAGGAACACAAACTAAAAAGTGAAATGACATAACAGTGTGATGACTGCCTGCTTTTCAGTTAGATTTTGTATTATGTAAATTATTAAAGGTTAGCTCCACCAGTTTTACTTGTAAGGTCAGTTGAATAGTTTTTCAGCCTGTGAAAATGCTCAAGATTTGTCAAGAAAAACACACATTATGCAGACAAATGTCTCCTGTGACTGTTAAAACATTAGATTGTTATCAATCATGCGCTGATGTGTAAACAGCATTTTGTTGTTGTAGTTGATTGAAGTGGAGCTAAGTTTTAACTGTTTTATGTAAACCTGTAACTAGTGATGACTTTCAGTTTGGATTAAACTCCTGATTATTTTCTCAATTAACCAACTGAGTGTACAAAAATCCAGAAAATAGTACTTACTGCTGGTGTGGCCCTGAAGCCCTGGAGACTCCTCTGCAGCTGTTGCCATTCAGACCACAAACTGGACTCACACTTGTTTGTTGTGAACTCTTAGATCCTGATTTACTATTTGTTAGTTTCTCAGTATGAGAACTTCAAGTAGGTAGGGTCCTGTGCGGACAAAAAAGTAGCTCAACAACAATAAATACTTAAAATGACTTCATGCGGCAGATACTTATAACAGCCTAATTTACTCTGCGGATGGATGAGCTGATCTAAACATATTAAATGTACTATAAGGTTAAAGGCAACTAGTGTTAAATGTGTGCTGAAAAATGTAACCGACGAAAGTTATATTGACAGGTAAGACCAGTGCTTGTTGTATCAGACTAGAATAATAGCTAGCGAGATGTCTGGGTTGCGACATTTAAGTAGAGGCGAGTAAGCTAAGTTGGCTGATAACTCTGCTTTAATGTTCCTAACCTAAAATAAGCTAAGCTAGTCACAATAATAACTGAAGAATAACACAGTCAACTCACTCGGAAAATTTGTTATAGAGTTCTCGCAGTTTCCTTTTCTCCACCGTTTTCTCTAAAACCTATAAACAAGGATGCAATGCGGAAGCAACAGTTTTAGGTTTTGCTGTACCTAGCGGAGCAAGAATACTTCCGGTAAAATCTCCTTCAGAATAAAGCGATTTCCTCCCAAAATTGACCAGTATCCTAAGAATTATTGTGCAGGCTATACCATGAATGAATGTCACTTTAGGGTTCGCCACAGCGAATCGTCGCACTGACGACTCGCATGTTGACGTTTGGCACGTGTTTTACGCCGGATGTCCTTTCTAACCCTAACCCTGATTCGAACCCGGGCCCCTTAACCACCATGCTACAAGAGACGGCTATGCAGGCTATACCATGCCTAATACAAAATATATTGTTTATTATCTATATTTAGTAATATGACACAATACACCAAACTAAAGAAAATAATGTTAATATATTCATTTGTAAGGCTATTTACTGTTGAAAATATATTAATGATGTGTGCGTTTTCACAGTATAGTATAGACCAGCTAAGAATTGGTAGCTTGATGCTATTAAATTCATACAAAGTGCAATAAACAAACAAACCAGCAAATAAAAAGCCTAACTCAAATCAATATTTGCTGTAACTGCCTTTTGTCTTGTAATTCTCCCAGGTAACACTACGTACCCATATAACTGTAACCTCTTGACACTTTTAGCTGCTCTTTATATTTTATACATTGTGCTTCTACTGATTTAAGTGTGAAATGTTCCACTTTTATCTTTGAAGCTGAGCAGGAAATATAGTTGTCCTGGTCTGGAGAAAATGACTCTCTACAGGTACAATAATGCAACTCAGTCAGACAGAGTTGAGATGTTTTAAAGAGTTTATTTGTGACTCTTATGACACGTGGCTATTCAGTTTGGGCAGCACACTCAGACCTTTGTTACTGATCATTAATTTGATGTTACACACCTAATTAATATGACATACAGTGAGCACTTATTTTATTACATGTGTACATTTTTTATTACAGGGGTGAAGAGATAGATTAATCTGATAACATATCAATATTTTTTTTCTTTTTTGAAGCTGCCAGACTGATGTTGCTTCAAAGTTATGTCAAGTGCCTTGTTCAGTGACAGAAAGCATAAGATAACTTGTAAGTCTTTATTTCAACACAAATTTTCTAACAATTGTCAGAAGTCATGAAAATGAACATATGCAGACTCAGTTACGAATATGTTTCCTGGTGTCATGACAAAGCTGTGTTAAGATAAAGAGCTGCTTTTAATGTCCTTATGCAGCATAATCAAAACCAGTATGTCCTGTCCTCTTCTGAGCACCCGAGACAAAGACCTGCAGATAAAATACAAAATGTCAGCTCAGCATATTTATATAATAATGGCTGTTTTGTTTTGTTTTGTTTTTTGTTTTTTACTTGCCCACATTGGTTCTGGACATATTAACTCCTTCAGTCCAGTTGTTTTTCTTCTTTAACCTTTAGCAAGCATATGGGTTGAAGGTAAATCCTGGCTCCAGGGGAACTTTTGGAGCAGTGTAGTCTGGTACTGGGTAGTAGTTTGGGTTCGGCAGCTCGCTGTTGAAGCACATCCATCGCGCATCTCCTTTGGCCTCACAACACAGATACGGAACAGTCATGACGGAAAATTCATCCACACAGAACTGGGACAGCGCTTGATGCCACTGTAAGAAAAAGATACTTACAAAATTTCACCTCCCTGTTCACCAGTTATAAGAACACTTCATCCTCACAAACTGTCATCATCCTTTGTTTATTCAGTTACTGTACATCTATTCATTAATATATGACAGTGGTAGACCACTTTTCCTTTCTGTGTTAAACAAAATATAGGAACACAGGAATTCCTTTTATTTATTTTTAGCTTTTACTGTCATTTGTTTATAAATCTCACTATCTACTAATACTGATTCTGAGTCACCAGGGTTCTATTTGTCACCATTAATCTATGCTTATGAGCATGCACATGATAAGGCTATAAATGTAAAAAATAATTTTAAACTACTAGTTATTGTGCATTTGTGCAGCATGTAAAAATGTATACAAAATATGTTTATAGCAGATAAGTGGTTGGTTTTGTGAGAGTATGATATGTCCTATATTGGAATGTGCTGTATACTTGTATATATGAAATAAATGGCAGCATACTATTACAATTACATATGCAAAAACTGATGCATCTAAACAGAACAGTCAGGTCTCCTCACCTTAAATATTGATTTTACTATTAATAAACAATAACAATGATCTCTCCTCAACATGTGCAGTATAATGTTACCTGGTCTGTCTATTGTCATAGTCACAGTTGTGTCTGTCTGTAATTGTCCTTGGATTGGTTGTTTCCATTTCTCCCCCAAACGCACACAAACACTGTCAGAGACTCACAGCTTGTCGGGCGCAGCAGAGGATCTGACTGCTCGAGTGTGCCACCTGTCCACTACAGCACAAACTGTACCACGACTCCAGACGGTTGATGGCACTTCCACGGCGGCGGAAGTGGCTTGCACCAGAGCTGGGGAAGAAACTGGCTAGGTATCTGGGACGACCCTGACCACAATGGCAAATAGCAGCGAGGTTTCGAACTGTGGGACGGGCAGGTGGAAAAGGGACGTTAGGCTCATTGAGGAAGTTGTAGTTGGTCTCTGTAAAAATAAACAGAAAGCAACACAGAGGTTAACAGTACTGTATATGGAAGAATACATTATTAAAGCTACAATATATAACTTAAAGTAGCGCTAGCACTCTGCTCCACCCAGTACTCCTTCTTCCTACTCCAATATGCTCTACCATGCTCCGTCATGCACTGCCCATCTCTTCAGATATTTGTCATTATAAAATTACAATAATGATCATGAAAGAAAACTTACTGATCAAGCAGAAAT